TTTGAATTGTGATATTTTTACTTATAAATCTAATTTAAAACAATGTAGCTGCTTTAATTTGTTTATTTATGAGCTTTTTATTTGATTTGCTTTTCTTTGTTATTGTACTAGTGTTTATTTTTCTTCTATCTTTCTTGATTAATTTTCATTAACTCATTTTGTTATTTTCAATATTACTATTATTATTTATTAATTTATTTCTTATTATTATTTTTTCATATTTTTTCTTCCTTTTTTCCTACTAAATTACTACTTAATTATATATTTATTTTTCAATATTTAAAAGAATCAATTAAATTCATGCAATAGGTGCATCATGCTTAGGTTCTACTTTAGCAAATTGCTCTAATCTCTCAAATTTGGTAATTTGTCTTAGGTATATTCAGTTTATTTGTTTTGGATTGTCATATTTTTACTTAAATTGAGTTTAAAAACAAAAGGGCTCTTTAATTTCTTTGTTTATTTATTAGCTTTTTATTTGATTTGCTTTTTTTTTTGATTGTACTTTTGTTTATTTTTTTTCTATTTTCCTTAATTTAACTCATTTTTTATATTTTTTATTATTATTTCATATTTTTTCTTCATTTTTTCTTTCTTAATTATTTATTTTTTCTTAAATATTTAAAGTTATAATAAAATTGATGCTATAGGTATATCAGGCTTAGGTTCTGGTTTAGCAAATTGTACTAATCTCTCGAATTTGACACTTTCTCTTTAGTAAATTCAGTTTATTTGTTTTGGATTGTGATATTTTTAATTATTAAAATTAATTTAAAACAATATAGCTCTATGAAATTGATTATTTTAGCTTTTTATTTGATTTGATTTTCTTTTTCTTTTTTATTTTACTTATGTTTATTTTTCTTCTATCTTTCTTAATTTAACTAATTTTTTTATTTTAAATATTTGTTTTTAATTATTTATTAGTTCATTTCTTATTATTATTTCTTATTCTTTCTTCATTTTTTCCTTCTAAATGACTATATATATTTATTCTTCAATATTTTAAAAGTTAGAATCAAATTGGTGATACATACATACATACATACATACATACATACATACATACATACATACATACATACATACATACATACATACATACATACATACATACATACTCGCACATGGTGACATGCACTCGGGATAGGGGCCTTATATATAATTACTTATACATCATTATTATTATACGTATACCAATTTATTTATATATAATTGTGGGTAATATATTAGAAGGGAAGGGTCACCTACACCCTAATGGCATTTCTACTAATCTTCCATGATTTGACTACGCATTATGCTCGCTTCCCATTTGTATTCCAGATCTTCTGTTCAGAATGGGGCCTCCTCTTTACCTCCTATCAGATTTGGCCCTTCCCTCCTACCAAGGAGACCGCTGGTAACATTCACATTTTTACATGGAATTTTTCGAAATAAAGGGGGCGGTATAGGATTCGAACCCCCGATATCACTGCTAAGACCCTCCGACTCGCCCACTCGAGCCGCTTAGCCCTTCAAATTGGTGATGAAGGTGCATCAGGCTTAGGTACTGGTTTAGCTAATTGTACTAATGTCTCAAATTTGACACTTGATCTTCGGTAAATCAGTTTATTTGTTTTAGATTGCTATATTTTTACTTATCAAATTGAATTTAAAACCAAATAGCTCTTTTAATTTATTTAATAGCT